CGCTAATGTCGATCCTCCTCTGCCCATAGTCTCTCTGGGCACAGGGGTGCTGTCTCTACAGACGGGTGTGACAGGATCATCTGCTGCCGATCAACAGCAGGCGATTATTATTTCGTCTGCCGCGGGTGAAACCTCACAGGTGGCAACCAGTCTTCCGATTGTCGTCACCACGTCATTTTCATCTTCGCAACTGGACGGTGCATCATGTACCTTTGTCAAGCAGGCCACGACCTCAACTTTCACCGAGTTGGGTTTTTCGGCCAACAACATTCAGGTATTTGAAGCAGCACCGTTTTCCTCGAATAAATATGAATAAAAAATCGAAGGGGGATGAAGTGGTGCACAGAATTGAATGACGTCATAGAACTTCTTGACCTGCGCGTACAGTTCATGCATTATTTACCTATCAGCTTTCAGCTCTCTAGGTCGAGGTTTAATTGGACAGCTTGCGCTGTTTTATTAATAGGCAATGTCCCTATCCAGTTGAATTCAGCTATTTAGCCAACGACTCTTTCCTTCGCTGACTGGCGGGAAGAATCCCATTCTTACTATTTTGCTTTGTATGCCAATATATTTTTTTCTTCAGGTACCAAGCGCGTATACCAAGGTGGCTTACAATCAGGCATTGTTTTAATGCGCAATAACTATAGCATAAGATAGGTAAAGGCAGTGGAACATACTTTAATAACTGATATATGCATTTTTATTTTATTGTATTTGGAAATGCTGTTGATTTATGTCTGTATATTTCCTTAATTTGTATTATCGTTTAACGTATTGCGGAAAAACCCAATTATCAAAATGCAAAATAGAAATAATGGGTAGGAGGTCGTCTACTTCAACTTACCTTTCTGGAGTTGGACAAGTATGGTCCGCGGCGCATAACGCCGCGCACACCTTCAATTTACATGCGGAACAATTAATTCCCAGCGGCCACGGAAAACAAATTCAACTACATTTTTCTAATTTCCACTTTCTTCCATAAATTTCCTTCACTGCCTAGGCTATTTGCCCATCCAAACCCCCTATAGCCACCATTTCCGTAGGCTAAAATACTAGGACTAGGGGTATATTAGGTGTACTAATTAAACTACCTTTCAGAAGACGAAGGTGCGATCACTGGAACAAGAGTTTTATTTACCTTTGTCAGGTCGTGTCCTTTCATGAAAATACCCATTTTTTGCACGCTTGCCATTTGTGTCTTCTTGGCCGTCGTCGGCCAGTCATACCCAGACCCAAGTGGCGTTCCACCCGAGCCTCGAACTCGCAACCTTTTGATCAGAGTCTAACGTCCCAAAAAGTTCGTTGTTCAATGTTTAGAGCGTTAGACTGATCAAAAAAGGTCGCGTGTTCGAGTTTCGAGTGGTGCACCATTTGGGCTTGGGTATGACCGGCTGACGAAGACTAATTAGCCAGAAATGGCCCTTCCAACCTCAGTTGCCTTTGCCAGCAACACTGTCTACAGGATAAATATACAGTATGGCGAGTCCTGCAAGCAACACCGTCAAAGTCGTACGAAAACCTTTGTAGCCCGCTGAGCGTTTACCCCAGGGACGCACAATTGATATTACGTCAGAGAAACAATAGATCTCAAAAGGAAAGCATGTTTGAAATTATAAAGTGTCATTAAGTGAGAACTACTTATTTTTATTGAAAACTATTAAACTCGAAAGAAGTAATGTACGAGAGGTCAATTATTTAAGTCCTTGTGCAAGTGACAACAGTGTAGAAAAAAGAGATAAAAGTACAAAATAAGGAAAATTAATAAATTTGTAACATACT